AACTCAATGAAGTATTTTGCGCGAGGTTGATGTAGAAAAAATCGTATTGAAGAACGCGAAATAAATTCTTGAATAATCGACGCAAATTTTGTAGGTACTGGAAATTACGAGATGCAGTTTAATGAAGAAATTAACAAAAATTAATAGTTGGATCAATAAGTTGCTAATTGCAGATTTATTGGCCGTGTTCTACAGGTGTTTGGACCTGGCGTTTCGTCTGCAGCTGCGGCTGGCTTTATCAAAGGTGATGCGGTAACACCTGCCGCAGTTGCAGACGAAACATCGGGGTCAAAAACTCGGAAACATCAAATGATCTATTTTATTTTATCTTCCATGTTTATGAGTTTTCTACTAAGATGTTGGTCAATTTTTCGAAAAATATATAAGATAGATAGAATAGTATACGGAACATAAAAGAGCACAAAAACCACTCATTATAAGAGAAAATTTGAGAATAACCGATAAAGGCGAATGTATGCAAACTCGAGGCAAGTAACTAGTTTGAATTATTAATTAGCAAGGAACGAGTAGCAAAAACGACGGCATTTATGCATTTCCAAGTGAAATGTAACTATAAAGTAGTATACAAGAAAATCTGTAATATGGATTATTATACGTGTATTTTTTTTCAATCAACACTCGAGGAATTTGTGGGATAATCTAAAAGGAGAAATAGCTGGAAATCACAGAAATATTACAAACAAATGATAATGTTTTGAAATTTGAAAAGTATTATGTTAGGTTAGGTTATCCCTCATATTTTCTGTATGTGTTCATATAGTGATCATTTGTCAAAGATCAAATTAGTAAATAGTTGAACATTGGATAACTCATACTTGTTACTTGATAATTTTTAATTTTTCTGCATAAAAGTGTCCACTGGAGAATGTGACGTTCAACTTATAATTGACGGTTGTTACTTCCTAATTACTATTTGCTAATCGACCGTGCATAAATTTACCTCAACCTTTAGAGGATATAACAAGTACTGAACATTGTTTAGCAATAATAAACAGTGAAATTGTTGATTTAAAATCAAAACGCGAAGATACTGAAAAAACGTAGATTTTGCGTATTTTACGTTTTGTTGGCAACACTGATGACATCTCAACTCGCATTGCGAGCAATGACTTTTGGTGGTTCCTCCTCGCGGGGTCAAAAAACCTCCGAAAACCCCCTCCTACGACATGCACACGCACTGGGCGGAGCTTGCAGAGCTTACGCACTCTAGATTGTCATCTTTTGTTGCATTTACGTAACGTACGCACTTCGCTCAGTGCCTTTTTGTCCTTCGATCGAGTAGGCTGCGCGCGCGAGACATGGCTCAGAAGAGCGACAGTGAAAAATTGACCGATGCTCAGGAGAGCTTTATCAAAAAGTTACTGATCAGATGCAAGGCTGAGGCCGAAACTGAGAATGGTATGTAGCAACACGATTTTCCTTGTTTTTTTTATATTAAATTCAGTATGAAAGACTCCTAATCAATACCGGTTATTGATTTTTCAAGTTAATGAAAATATTATGACTGATAAATTATTACTTCATTGTATACTGTTTTTTTTCAATTTTCCATTAGAATATTTTTTGAAAATAATAAATGAACATTTATTCACCATATAACATTAACATACACGTAATTGAATCCAATTGAAATATTGGTATATGTATAAATAGAAAATAATTGAAAGAATATGAATTACGGTGTGAGTTGTTGAAAAGTTTTGAGAAAATCCGGATCCTCTGTTATTTACTTTTTATTGTTGGTACATCTGTATCAAATTTAATTAATCGTGAAATTAAAAAAAATACCATTTGTTCTTGTTTTCTAACAAAGTACCTTTCTCATCAGAAAATGAAATCTCAAGTGTTAACTTCGCTCTATGTTCTTTGAAGCTCATATTTTGAATACTAGATGTTAGTGAGAACTTTCTTGTTTTTGTATTTTTCTTTTAATATTCAGTAATATATCAAAGAAGGAAAATTGAATATTATCGTAGAAAATTGTCAACCGGAAGAAAAATCTCATATCAAATATTAACATTCCTACGAACGTAGAGTTGCAGATAAATTATTTTTTCTTATTCATTTTACATATTTTATCGAATGATTTTATTAGTTCATTAATAGGATTTTTTCTTTTTTTTTTTCTTTGCAAATTTTTTTCTATAACTAAATCAAACGAGATGATAATAGGAAATTAAACGGACAAAACAGTTTTCACCAAAAATTAATCTCTCCCATAACACTTGACTGTTTTCATACAATAATATATTGTTTATTTGCCACTGAAGTTTTTCTGGAAGTTTCAAGGACTCTTATTTTTGGGGCATATTTGTATACATGATATATTTATTACAACCCTACAAAATTCGAGAATAATCGTCAATTGCTCATTAAAATAGTATCTGTGTGAGAAATGTTGTTATTCAAATTGACAGTTCTAGCCAACTAATATTAACATATGCTTCCTTGAATACCGACACAACAACGGAAATGTTTTCCTTAGATAAGCCTCCCTCGGAAAAACAACTACACCGCGTATTTCGAAACTCTGTTCTGTATCTAACATTTCCCAATCAGAACTTTTCCGCAAGGTACTGAATTAGTCATATTTCAATATCGCGTAAATGTTCATCACAACAAATCGCACCTAACGACGTCTGGTTTTCAAATGTTCTAGTTCCGAAATTGTGTAATCCGGAAAACAAAAATGGACCAGTTCAACGGTTTGACAAGAATTTGGTATGTAGTTTATTTAAGAAAATTGTGGAATAGGAAACTGTGATTCTAAACATTCGGTGCCTATTCTTGGAAAAATACTATATTGAGTCCTCAACTAGTGACAGTTTTAATGTAATTAATGTCATGATATACCTTTAGAAAGTCTATTGTTTCAAGCAGGCCCAACATAGTAATTGAAATAATTTCTTTGAGAATTCTTACTCTCTTGATATGGCATCAAAATGACGTGTTTCATTTCTCCGGCCGTATTAATCATTGAAATGATTTTTTTATGATGTCAATTCCCATAGGGAAAAATACTAGAAATATTCGATCAAAAATTGAGGCCCCCCTTCAGTTTTGATCATGGGTATTACTAATTGCCATCATCCGCTCAGCGAAAATTTTGAAATAAAACAAATTCCCCACAAAAAGTCGTAATGCTGTTGGCCTGACAAACTTCTTTGAATCCCTGATAATTGGAAGTGTTCTCATTGGAAATTCCTATGAATGTAGATTGTAAGTCCTATAAATTCAAAATTTAACTGAATTGAAATTTTTAATGAAGAAAGTTTAGTTGGGTAACAGGATTATGTTTTTCTTAAAACCAATTGTTTTCTTGTAGACATTTCGAATTTAATTAAATCCTTCTTCGGGGCTCTAAAAGTAGTTTCTTCGTGTTGATAATATTATGTACTACTTTAAAAAACATCAGACATATTAGATATATATTTGAAAAAATAAAAAACATTGCAACAGACAAACTTTCGAGACAACACCAACACAAAACGACATGTAGTTTTGTGTTGGTGTTGTGAAAATCTGCATTGTAATTTACCTAAATCATAGGTAACAGGGGTCCCGATACTGATCTTTGAGGCACACCAGGTTAGGTTAGGTCAAAAGTGAGTAGGTCTATTCGATCCTCCGCCGCAACCCGCAAGGGTTTATTATGGCTCACATCTATTCACACCCGACCAAATAAACCCAGCTTCTTAACGAAGCCGATTAGTTTATTTGGTGAGTGATCTTTCAGGTCAGATGGTAAGAGTGTGGCTTTCCAAACTCTAAAAACCTGATTCAGTCCGCAGCGGAGCAGGCACAAAGTTTCATCATTTTCCAAACAGAGGCGACACACACTGTCTTCCGACAGTCACAGTCTCTGCATATGATGATTCAGATGACAGTGACCTGTGAGGAGGCCTGTTAGATATGGTAGTTCATCCCTACTGTAGTCCAACAACTGTTTGGTATCAAGCTTCAAAGGGTGAATAAACGCCTTGTAGTGAACCAATCCTGTAAGAGTCTGCCAGAAGTCCATAAATCTTTTTGCCATCTAGGTATTCAATGTTTGTTTGGCAAAACCTGAATCCATGCCGATGACAGGTTCTGGGTCAATGAAGCTGCTTTCAGCACCCTCCTTTGCAAGCGAGTCCGCAGCCTCATTGCCTTCCAGGCCAGTATGACCATTAATCCCGACCAGAGACAATATGTTAAGTCGTCCTATCGAGTCGTTTTTGGCAATTTGCTACCAATGTAGACGTTGCTCGGTAGGAGCCAAGAGCATCCAACGCCGCTTGACTTTCCTAAAAAATGTTAATTGACTTGTGTATGAGGTTGGATTCTACCAATCTCTCCGCACATCACTCAATAGCATAGATTTCCGCTTAAAATACAGTCGGCTGATATTTCTGTCCCGGGTCTGCACCAGAAAACACCTGCACCAGAGCCTGAAGGTGTTTTTGATCCACCTGTGAACCAACAACTATCTGCTCTCAACATTTCCTTCTCCCGAAGGATCCATTCCTCTCTACTCGGGAACCGTACTGTATAAGGCAGTTCGTAGTTGACAGTTAGAGAAGGTAGATCTAGATTTCTAGAAAGATCTCCATGGTCGCTGACGGTGTGGTGTTAATGTCACCACAGATGGCCAGGAGAAGCCTGTCTCTTTAAGCCAGAGAAGCTTCGCTTGAGCCGTTTTCTGTAAAGCCTTCAGCCACCAGGCAATTGCTCCATAAGTGATCATTGGTCTGACAATCATCACAGAAATCCAATGGATTTATTTGGGGCTTAAACCCCAAGTTTTACCACGAATCCATAGGCACACCAGACTCATACATTGAAATTTCATAAGAAACGTCGAGTTTTTGACAATCCGTCGTGGTTGGGGAGTTAACAACCGGGTTTTTCAACCTCTACTAATTTACTTTTCACAATGTTATTATTGCATGCCAATCTGGAATCGACCGCATTGTAATAATATCCTTTCTTTTTTGCAGAAGAAGTTTGGGCCCTTCCTGAAATGGTCGGCTTCTACAGCGAGGCTACTTTACCGACCGCACAAGTTCGTACCTCATCAAGCGAAGATCTAGTGAAGAAACTCGTCTGCAGTCCGGATTTCAGCATAACCAAACAATCCGATTCGGAAACTTATCAGTGCCAAATCTGCAACAAGATGTACACCTCCAAAGCTGCATTCGCCACCCATGCTCGCACTCACGCTAAGGAAACTGAGGATCCTTACAGGTGCAACATTTGTTCCAAGACTTTCGCTGTGCCGGCTAGACTGACGAGACATTACCGGACCCATACAGGAGAGAAACCATTCAGGTGAGAATAGAATGCAAAACAAAAAAAAACACTTTTTCCACACCAGACCTAGAAAACTTTCTCTCGCCGCGCGTTTCGCTAAACAAGTTAGCATCATCAAGAGTTAGCATCCTCAATATGCTATAGTATGCTAACTTGGTTAGCGAAACACGCATCAAGATACAGTATTTTGGTTCTGGTGCGGCTCCAACTCTACCTGCCAAATTCGGTTTGAGGAAACCTTTACTTTTTTAACACAGTCAGTGATAGGTAATATGTGGGATCTAATAAAGAAAATGTTAGGTATAAGTGTTGTAAAACCACTGTTGCTTAAAAGGAACATAAAAACTTAGGCCATTAAAAAAATTAGGTTGTAATACGCACACTACATGTTTCAAGTTAAACTTGAACAAAAAGCTGCAGATGGCACAAAGCGCTTCTTCCTTGCACAGGCGGACTGGGGGCCTGGCGGAAACCTCGTGACAATAGAGGGAGATTCTCTATCTTCACGTGTGTGCGCAATACGTCTTTTTTATCGCCCATATAACCTACAATAAAGAACTTCATTCCAACAAGGATTTTTCAGTACCAATCTTTTCTCATTGACAGTCATCTACGAGATGAGTCTTGAATGAAAGCAGAATCAATAATTACAATGGCGCTTTTTTCCAAGAACATGGTCCCTGTAACAAGACTACGTACCGCCTCGTAATCCATATCTAAATCCGATTGAACTAATGCGGATCATGTTGAAAGTAATGTTCTTCAATGAAATGTTATCTGTGAGTTAGAAAAAACGAAAGAAATACACTGAATGCAAGAAAATATTCTTAGTTTCAAAGGCAAATATCTAGATAAAGAGATACCTTCATATAGTGGTACAAAAAAGTCAAAGTGGATGAAATATTATTTCAACCACTTTGACTTTTTTCATAAATTATTTCCTCAATATAAATATTATAAATTTCAGATTATTATATGAAAAACTTTCATTATTTATTCAAAATAAATTGATAGTCTAACATTTTCTCTAATGAGAAAATGTAGTTGTCATATCATATATGATTTCTATGTAATTCAAATCTAGAAAACAATTATCTTTATGGGCGAAATAAAACATATTATGTGTTGTGCACGACTTTGGTTTGATTATATTGCCTATCCTATTAGAAAACGATTCTGCTGGCTTCCTTTTTTTCTCTAAATTTCGTAATTATGTACCTTAGAAATTATTGAAAAGTGAATTAATCTCTGGTATTTCATTTTAGTTTACTCCAAATAACTCTGAATTTCCGAAGATAATTTGGCCAAACTCTGTAATTGTTTAAGGGGTTCAGAGGTTTGTAGGCAATAGTCTTAAAAGTAGTGGTTTTAAACATAGAATTTAAACAAAAAATATGCGTATTGATATAACCCTGCAAAATGTTAACTTTCTGATTTTCATTAACCATTAATGCGATTAATGGCGTCTGTACACAGCAAAGGCGTCGCATGGATACTTTGCTCAAAGCGCATTGAAGTATGCCAGTATATTTAATTATCAAATTCTACTCAGCATACTCAGTTTTTAAATCACACCATAAAATCGAAATTTCATTTTTTTCAGATGCGAGTTCTGCAACAAGAGCTTCAGCGTCAAAGAGAACCTCAGTGTGCACAGAAGAATCCATACTAAAGAAAGACCATACAAGTGTGAGGTTTGTTCTAGAGCTTTTGAACACTCCGGAAAGCTGCACCGTCACAATCGTATCCACACTGGCGAAAGGCCCCACAAGTGCTCCGTTTGCCTTAAGACTTTCATCCAGTCCGGGCAGCTGGTCATCCATATGAGGACCCACACAGGTGAAAAACCTTACGTATGCACTGTGTGTCAAAAGGGTTTCACCTGCAGCAAGCAACTCAAAGTGCATACTCGAACACATACTGGGGAAAAACCCTATTCTTGCGAGATTTGCGGGAAGTCATTTGGATATAACCATGTGCTGAAACTTCACCAGGTAATTTTTGTTTTAAATTGCACGTTCACGGATATCTCTGGGATTTTAAGTTTCCGTTATCTTCAACAACTAAAACTGCCGTCGCATCAGAAAAATTAAACAGTATCATAATTTTGTTTCAGGTGGCACATTTTGGAGAAAAAGTCTACAAATGCACCATCTGCAATGACACCTTCAACTCGAAGAAGATCTTAGAGACTCACATCAAGTGCCATTCCGAAAGCAACCCTCCCCAGCCTCCCACGCCACCGGCATCATCGACCTCCGAGTCATCTTGTTCGAGCGCAAGCGACTTGGACAACCTAAAAGACTCTCCGAGACCAATGTTCCAGGAACCTGCACCCGTCAGCTATGATTCCGACATCCGTTACATCGTGTACACCAGTTCCACAAGAGACAGGATGTCTCCAACATACCACATAAACAACTACACAGTGCCCTCTAGTGGCGTTGAGCTGCTGGCAGCTGCGGCAACTGCCACAGAGAGGGACGACATCTATAGAAACACGCAGGATGTGATCAACCTGATCAAGAACAACAGACACCCTGCTTATTTTACTTCGCCAGCTGTGCAATACACTACACCCCTCACTGCTGGCGATGGTCTCAGAAGACGGGTCGAGGCTGTGTTGGCGGTAGAAGCAAACCAGTCCACAGAGGAGGCGACTGTTACGCCTCCCAATTCTAGCCCTGTATCGCCCGCCTCTTCCCTGTCTCCACCGGTTTCTCCGGTTCCCGAGCCCGATCCAGAGCTCAGCCTCCCTCCTCGAAAGCGGTCGAGGATGATCCTCAAGTCGATGGAGAGCACCCTGGACTTGTCACCTGTCAGATACAGCTCAGTTATCCATTACGCCAGAGCGTCGTAACTTGATCGAGCAAACCAAATATTTATTAGTACTATTTTATCAAGCTTCATATTTTGGTTCAGTGAATGGCTGCAATGACTTTTTTTTCTGTGATAAGACTGTTTGAAATCAACGTTTTACCTCATGGCAGTGCCTAGGCCTTCGCAATACGCTGTTCGTCTTATGTTGGCAATCATCTCATAGATTTTCTATCGATAGCTCGTATTTAGTATATATATTTCATCCAAAGCGGAAAGTACTAGTGTGAAGTGTAGTTGTGTTTTTCTATTGTTTTTATATGTTGATCTTTATGATGTAAAACTCGTATGTATAACTTGTATGCTAATTCTAAGTCTGAGCTGTTGATTTCATTCGAAATCAGTGGAACCCATAAATTATTGTATATTGTATTTGTATCATCAGTGTTATTGTTAATGAATTACACAAGTAAATAAATGATATTTGAAGATGTTTTTAAGTTTTTCTTCACTAATACATAATTCCAAATCCCTACAAAAGCAGTTCTTCAAGAAAGAGTGAAACTTAGTTCTTCAGTATAGAAAAAGATCGAATTTTCACTGTCTTGATAAGCTAATACTGCCAGAAAAGTTGAATCTACACCTCTTTTGTGAATGGGTTGAAGGATAAAAAAATTTCGAAAGGGGTGAATTCAGTATTCTTGACTTTGATAGAAACATGAAAAAATTGTAAAATCATGAATTTTGATCGAAATATTTCGATGAAAAGGCCTTGTTCCGCGAAATATTTTTGAAATATTGCAAGAGTTATAAACTTTCCCTATACAAGGATGCATACCATCAATATTCAGTAAAATTTATATCAGTTTTCCAACATGTTATTCCAATTATGAACACTTGCATTCTCATATGAATAAGAAACAAATATCTTACTATTCAAATTCGCTACAATGCAAGCGATGTTAATGCAAAAGAATAGATAACAATAAATATGACCCGGCGTTTTTCAGGTTGCATAAATTCCTAACCAAGAAATTCACTAGAGATTCTGTCTAGGATTCCGAAAGACGGAATAATTATATTTTTATTCCATTTACATCAAATACATGATATTGGAAAAGTCTCTTAAAGGAGAATTCAAAAATTATATATACATAAAATCTTTGAGTTTTTATATGCTGAAACATTAAAACAGCATAAGTAACTAACTAGGTATTATATGCAGAATGAAATTTATTCCAGATCAAAATATTCGTTTTTACTATAGAAACAATTTCGTATGAGGTATTTCGAAAATGAACTAGCGGTTCAACTTTAGTACACCTCAAACTTTCCAGTTCAAGAACTCTTTCATTTGGAGATCTGCGTTTATGTACAATAAACTTCCTGATAACGTTTTTCCAAATGTATTTAATGTAATTAAAAGGTAGAAATTTCACCTCTGGGGTAAAATAAATTCATTAATTATACCTGTGATAACATGAGTTGAATGTCAGGTACATAAATAGCGACATTGATGAGTTCAGGTAAACCATCCAAAAATATTATATAATAGGTTGGAGGATATGATCACGTCAGTAGAGAATTAGTTACCGTATTAGTTGTCAGTTGTCAGACTTTTGTATTCATTTAAGGTTATGTTTCTAGGTATTCTTGGGTTATGTGTAGTGTTTGAAAACAGACTCTGAATAATTTGATCGTGAAATAGAGAAAATCGTGTAGTGTGCCGCGCCGAAGGAACTTCTAAAATGCCTCTTCCTCCAGCTTTAGCTGCGAAGTTATCCAAACGTGGTCTCATAAATCGTAAGTGATAATAATTCAACAGAAAAATTGTCACAAACCTAAACAATGTCTTATTTTCAGCAACCAAACAAAAACCAGTTGAACCAGTGAAGAAACAAGATTTTAAGGGTTTATCTACTTGTCCCAATAAATCTAATATTTACCATGAATGTAACTATTGGTGTGAAACACACTGGAAAGGAATACAAACACCTGACCCCAAATACTTCAGAAATATGCAAAAGCTGTTGGGTAAATACCCTCTTCCAATGAATTGGACAGAAATATTTGACAAGGGATCGTAAGTGAATTCTAATTATTTGAGAAAAAATTTCCACATCTTAAGTAGTTTTTGAAAAAGTGATTCACAATGCATGATTATTAATAAAAATATACTCTAAGAGCATTAAACATAACAATCAGTTCGGTGAACGTGGGTGTTCTTGTAAGGAAGGTAGCATCTCTGTGATCTCGGTAATTATTGGGAACTCATAGATGTAGCTTAATTATTTGCAGAACATTTTTCAGAAACTGCTGAATCTCTTAATCATTCTTATTAGTCAGTGGGCTATGCTTGAAGACTGGCAGTAAACAATCTAAAGCAACGGAACTTTAAACGTTTGAAGTTCAGTTGCTTTAGATCTCTTAATCACTTCAGTCAGATCTTAGAATTCCATTCCAAGTCAGCCCAATAACCGAATTTGATATACATGATGCTCTCAAGTTGATGAAAAATAAGATTTCTAAAGGCTTTGATGAAATATTTATGAATAGTACAAGAGTATAATTGATGCTATAATCCACCCGCTTATCTGTTGATTTGATCCTTCATCCCATAATATTTTATGATGAATCAAAAGGCATTTGTCATGTATTTTTTTGAAAAAAATAGAGTACTTTTCTGCTTTATGAACTTTGCAAATAATATGAACAGAACAATTAGTTATTTGGAATGTACAGCTTTGATGTCAGCACAGCTGTAGGAATAATTATTCCGTAGAAGCAGCTACTCTTTCATCATTTATGGAAGGTTTGAAAGGAACGATTTTATCGGTATGTTCTCTGACCTCTCAGAAGTATTTGACACTTTTAGTTGTTCAACTGAAATCAAACTTAAATGGCTGCAGCATTATTATTGTAAAGCTTGAAGATTTATTTTTTATTTGTAAAACAGTTTTATAAAATTGATTTTTGAATCAGTATACGTTATCTATTATTTACAATATGGAAAAAGTTTGTTTCCCAAAACCTAAACCTCTTTCCATTCATCTATTATTTATTTTTCAGGGGGCGATATTATTACTGGAATATGGAAAACGATCTGGTTTCCTGGCTTCCCCCTAAGCACCCCAAATCTATAAAGTGCCAAAGTGCGGCAAAACTGCGAGAAAATCGACTTAAAATGAAGGAAAGAGAAGAACGCTTGGAAAAAGAGAAAGAGAATGAAAAGCTCAAAGAAAGAGAGAGAGACCGCGATCGTGACAGAGATCGTGATTCAGATGACGAAGACCGCAGCCATCGAAAATACTCTGATAGAAGGGACCGAGAAAGGGAGAGAGATGAGAGAAGGCACAGGAGAGACGAAAAACATCGAAGGGGGAAAACTAGAAAGGACGAGATAGATCCAATGGATCCTGCAGCATATTCCGATATTCCTCAGGGGAGCTGGAGTGATGGATTAGAGTCAAACAAAACAAGAGCTGATAATACAGCCTCGGGGGTGTTGTTTCAACAGAGACCATATCCAACTCCTGGAGAAGTATTGGCAGCTAATAAAGAGAAAGAAAAGCCGAAAAAATGATTTGTGTTGTTCAGATTTTACTATCCAGTTCTTCATGTCAGTCTTGTTAGTTTTGTACTATCAACAAAAGGAATGTTATTGAATATTGAAATAAATGGGCTGAGATGTTGTGGGAATGTTATATAGTCTAACAATCTGTAATAATTCCTGTACATAATTATTGTAATTTTAATTTCCGAGATGAGGATTGATATACATATTAATTCAATGATGTGTGTTTTTCTTATATAAATGAAAAATGAAAGATAGAAAAAATAATTTTTTCCATTACCTGGTTTTTGTCTATGGGAAGCAGCGATGAGTATTTTTTGGGAGACTTGTACAATCTAGCAAATAAAATATACTCTTGCATACAGATATATGAGGAAATAAATAAATAATAATTTATTAATCCCAAGAAACATTACATGTTTATAGTAGAGACAATGTAATATATAAATTAAGTCCCACGACTTCCAGATTCCATTAGTTTTTACAGAAAATCGAAAAATGGGTAGGTAATTTTTTCAACAATTCCCTGCTATTTTTTTATAGAATCTTCTCTTAGACCAAGAGCTAGTGCAAGTAAGAGGCGCAGCATGAAAACTCATATCTTTGATGCAAATTTATTATGTAAAACTAGAAATTATGGGTTAAATATATTTATTCAGTTATGATAAAATGTACACAAAGTTTTTGAATTAATCTTCATCACCATCTGATATATCATCATTACTTTCTTCATCATCATATGATTCTTCATTGCTGATTTCATCATATAAAAAGAAATAAATAATATTACATCTCAGTATAGTATATCTGAGGCACCAGTCAATCTAATAATAACACTGATGATCTTCAAACAAGACACAACCTCTAATGGAAGCAAGAAACTCTTTGGAAGGTTCGAAATAGATAAACATTTCAACGTAGCAGACCACTATTATAATATTCATGCAGTCATTGTTCACTGTAGTTCTGGCGTTGAATTTGGTCATTATTACGCCTTGGTCAAAGATGAAACGGACTGGTTTAAGTTTGACGATAGTCGTGTCACGAAGTGTTCTGGCGATGCAATGAATTTACTGGAGCCAATGGAGACACCCTACATTTTGTTTTATAAAAGAGAGGACATTGTTAGATCAAGATCTTCAGATGATGTGGTGCTGCAGGTTTTTCCGGGTTTTCCTGCAGCTGAAAAAGCAAATGCGCCACTGGAATCAATGAAGTCGCCCCGGAGCGCCAATTAATTTTTATTGTTGTTTTTATTTTTATCATTGTTTTAATAAAATACCATCTCAGATCTTGTGCTCAATTACCTATATAGAATTAATTCCATATATTATGAAATGAAAAAGTTGTGTTTTACCTTTAATGTGTGCTTCAGCTTCAATTGACTCATTCTCAGCAGTATGTTCAGTACTATGTGGCCGAACTTAGCATGCTATGATTCATCACTATAAGAATTTCTAACCTTACGGACACGCTGTTACTTGGAGCGTTTACTAGCTCTCCTACTATCAGTAGTACGGAAAATATTGATGATTTTTGAAGAATATAATTTTTATCATAACTCTGAGGTTACTTCAACTTAATTTTACACCTAATTAATATTGTGCATTTTAGAGAGTACTTACTACAAAAAATATCTGAACTTTTTTTTTTCTCGCTATGAGAGGGAATTATTTAAGAATTGGTGATTGAATAATGAAATGAAAAATTCAATGAATGTGTTACTCTTAGTAAATTGTCTTATTTTTAGTTTTACTTTTAGCTCTTTTCTGACTAATCCTACACAATGTACCATTTTAATTGTCTTACAGGATAATAACAATTATTATTATTATTACACTCAGAAAAATTTCCAACTGAAACTTACAAATATCGAAAATCTTGATCGAGTATTTTTGTTCTTTTTGAGGAGCTGGACAAAAAACGTCATTAAAGTTTGTTTGGTAAAATATTGAAAAAATCTCATTACGCAGTTAAATCGTTGGGATTATATAAAATTGTCATGGAATCAATTGTGTCCATGTCAACGATTCCTGAGGAAAAGGTAATATGATTTTTTTTGTATTATTAGTACTTAGTAATTGTGAAATAAAGTGCTTTAATGGACTTGGAAATATTTGTCGAGGAGAGTCAAGTTGTCATGAAAAACTGAAAGTATCGTGACTCAGAATCTTATTTGTTGGTATTGAGAAACATAATAAAACATTTCATTACAATTCTCCGTAATTGCTGTAGTTCAGGAATTTCTTCAGAAAGCAGAATTTGAATCAACTTACAAAATTCGTCAGAGGGGCAAGATGAAACTTAAACCTGAACATATCTGAAGAAGTATGGGACATTTTTTCTTTTTGTAATAAAAAACAGTTAAAAACAAATACGTCTTTTCGTAAATATGCTTCACCAATTATTTGTGAAATACTAGAATACAAAATTGAAGTCTAGTAATGATAATGATAGATCTAAAATTGAATTGAATAACTAAATGGTATTGTTACGTTTTCCCCGTGGGTTTAAAAATAATTGACTACTCTGTACAATAATCCACCTCAAAACTTTATTTCACTGTCAATACAACCAAACTTCAAATATTATTCAAATGTCTATCGCCTTGTTAAATCATTCTGTACCGCACTGTCCACCAAACTATACTTACCCCGTTGCGTTTATATACGATAAACGAATTATCTCGACATTGAGATAGAGAATTCGGTAGAATTCCATCGAAACAGCGCGGAGACTAGAATAATCGCGGATGCGCGCGGTCTTGGCCACGTCATAATTGATTTATAGCTACCAGCGGCGGCCGGCGTTAATTTCTTTAGGGCATGATTTACAACAGTATATTTACTAGAAAATAAATGCCCAAACAGTAAAGTGCCTGGGACTTGATTAATTTCAACCCGGCTCAACTGCATGTATGAAACCTGAAGATGAATATTTTTAACTAGTAACTCGTGAACAAGAAAAAAGATACCTCTGCGATTTATCTCGCATGAATGTTTGTCAGATATAATTCAAAATCCAGCGTGGTATTAGCCGGGAAAACAGTTGTTTTCCGGTATAATTCGATATTTTATTTGAAAATATTCATTATTTCAGTATGCATGTAACTCTTCTCGATACAGTCTTCACAGATGGTTTGATCTCTGTTAGATTATCGGTACATGTGATGTTTCTTTCCCGCTTGGGGCTTTGTTCACGAGATGGAGCTATTACTAGTTAACAATCTATATTTTAGACAATAATAATGTTTATTCACTAATAAACAATGAAATGAAATGTAACCAAATGGTTTCATACATATAGTTGAGCTGCGTTCAAATTAATCGAATCCCAGGCACTTTCCTGTTTGAGTCGGACCTTTCCTGCACTGATGAAAGGTAATAACTTAAAACGGGTCTGTAGATAATCTATTCAAATAGCTTCACCTTGGTCCTGCTGCGGTATGAACGTGAAACGTCTGCAAGAATAACCCCTTTGAGGTATCTTGCATAGATGTCTGCCGGATATAATTCAATATCCAGTGTGGTATTATCCGGAGTAGTTGTTTTTCGGTAGATATTTACCAAAACCTACGGTGTAGGTAGTTGGAAGAGATGAATATTTGGAGATTTAAACTCAAAATATGTATTGCCTTAACGTATTTATCTCTCCTTGATACAGTATTCAGAAAGACATACATGAAATGTGGTGTTCTAACAGAAATTCTCGAATATCTACGTAACGAAAAAAATTCCATCTTTTGAAAAATATATGTTTATCAAGGGTGCTTCCATTTTTAATGGGTAACCCATACTTTTTTTTTGAAGGTTTCAAATATTAAAAAGCAAAGTTTCATGGGGTTCAATTACAGGGTTTTCAGTGACCCATTCAATATTTTTTATACTGTCACAGATACCTTACAAATGAATTAATGAGTATCACATAAGCATAGGACGGAGAAACTAACAGAAACTGATTGTTACGCTTATCCTGTTTGAGCTTGGTAGGCAATATGCAAGATTATCTCCACATTCTATGCAAATGTGTGCAAAACGATATTTTCTGAACTTAAGTATATTCTTCAAATATCATTTTGTTGATAGGTAGAATTGGAACACCTGGCATGAAATGAAGCTATTGAAAACACTTTTACCACACCAGAGAAGTTTTAGTCCTATCCTGATGATGCCAACTCTGTTAGCGAAACGTGTGTCAAGAGACAATAATTTTGTTGACGTGTGAGAAAAATATTTTCATTAGATCATTTTCTTAAGAAAGGTAAAATAAAAATCATTCCATAATATCGGTCAATTTTAATAAAAAGTTCAAATAAGGATAGTAGACCTAGCAGTCTTAATCTTTTCATGTTTTCTTTGCTAATCTAAGAACTAAAAATAAAAATGTTCATTACGGGTAAATTAAGAAATACAAAAATAAATCTTGGATTCAAATCAAATTTTTTACAATGAACATAAAAATATTATCGACAAAACGTAACACTTTAAACTATATCAGCTCTCACTTAACTAACATACTTTCCACAGCCATTTTGAGGAGTTTTGCCTCTTTAAGATGCTTTAGAGGCGGATGAGATTGAATAAATATGTTCAAATTTTTCAATAAATCTTTCAACACTTTAGGAATGAACTGTTTAGTGCTGGTACAATCTGGAGACAGGGACAGAAAAGCTGCTCGAATGTAACTGAAAAAAAGATATATATTATGAAACAAAAAACATTTTCAATAAAAGAAAGCACATTTACTTTTCATACCAAATCAAATTATGCTTTATTACCCAAAATCTGAACATTTTATTGGCAAAGTCTAGTGAAGTAAAACGTGTATATGGAACAATTAACAAATTAAACTATAAAATAATGCTTAGACACAAGAGCAGAGTATATGGACAGAACAATATTAAGCCAAGCTGAACAGATACAAAAGTATATGAATATTGGTTAAATATAAATATATAATGCTACGTAATGAACATTGATAGCCATTTCATGTTAATTTCAATAACTTGTTTACACAAAGCTACATGCCAATTACTCGATATAGCCTTGATAGAATTCATACACACTATAATAGGGCCTCTCAACAAGGAATTCTTTTACTTTCTTTCCGAATTTCTTTTCATTATATATTCGCCTTGAATTAATGGGAAGGTGATTAAATAACTTCTTGCTAATGAAAATAATAGAATTTTGTGTAAGGGCTAGAGTAGGTGTTGGAAGGGAAATGAAGTAAGACTGACGTGTACTATAAGTTGAGGTGGTATTAAATTGATTTTTATATTTTTTATGGATAAGACACACTGTTTCCACAATAAAAAGACATACTAAGGTCAGAATTTTTTGCTTCACAAATAATGGGCGACATGAATCCCTGTAGCTAGCCTTGCATAAATATCTGATGGATCTTTTTTGTAGAGAGAGTACCATATTGAAACGAAATTGTGCACAATTTCCCGAGAAACAAATTCCATTACGTAAATAAGACTCAATTTGTGTAAAAAAACTGATCTTGTGATAGTAGTGTCTAACTCTCTTGCAACAACTCTCACTACATGACAACCTGCTGCTAGTCTTTTACATAAGTATCGACATGGGAATCAAATTTTAGATTTTCATTAATGAAGAACCCTAAAAATTTGTTTTTCTCTAAATTTTCAATTTTTACATTTTCCAAGTGTACTTCCCCTATGTTACATCTAAACGTGACCACATTTGTTTTGTTGAATGATAAAAGATTGGAATCACCCTTCTTATGTCGATGATGATTTTATCAAGTAAATTTGAGGAGGTATTGCTATGTCAGAGGATAGTGGTGTCGTCAGCGAAACATGTGAATTTACCACTTATGTCAACATGGACTAAGTCATTGACATAAATGAGAAACAACGTCGGTCCCAAAACGGAACCTTGTGGGACCCCACTGCCAATGAAACTTTCCTCTGATGAAATTCCATTTGCCACCCTGAGATTTCTCAGTTAGAATAATTTACCTGGGTGTTTAGGGTTGAGAAAAAAAAAAAACGTCCAAAATGTATTTAGAGATGACACCATTTAAAAATTATTCTCTTGAAATAAATTTAAAGTGATAATAAAATAAATCTCAGAGTAATAATAAGACATAGAGTTGCCATGCCTATACCAATACAATACATGTGTTTTGAAACGGGTATCCTACTATCCTTTTCTGCACAACTTAAGGGCGAGGGGGGTGGCGGGTAATGAGGGGTTATGGAGAGTTTGTTTACATTTGAAGTAAGTTGGACCATAAAACAGTGGCGGTTGGTTTAGTTGATAATCGGAGGGATATTATATATTTATAAAATAAATCATTTCAGGTGAAAATGTTTAAATAGTTCTTATAGAAAATCTGATTAATTATTAATGATTATGGAAATGAGGCCGTACCGCTTGTTTATCAAATCTGAGAATAAATTAAAAATTCCTTCACCTGATAGGATTAAACTTTGTCAAAATTAATTGAATTTAGGCTGCCCATTCAGGATAACTCTCTGAGATTTTTATTCAGAGTAGAAGCAGATAAATTACGATACTCTAAGGGGATATTATTTAGCAGATGAGGAAGTGAATTACAAAATAATGCTTCAAAAAATTAAGAACAGTGGACAGGAATTATTTATGTTCCTCAGTGGTCTGTTGTGAATATCTTCCCTTCAAAATATTTTTGAGGCAAGGTACTTAAGTAGTCCAGTAGACAAGTTCTTGTTGACAAGACAAGCGTAATGAACAAAACGCGATTCATCAACTTCAGAAGTTGCAATTCTCTAATATGGGGGGTGATATATGTTTGAAGGGGGAATACTTCTTTTAAAAGATTGCAGTGAATGTTTTTCAGGAAAAATAGAGAATTTTTGCAGGTTATACATTTTTTTCTAGTATATGTAGGTGGTACGCTTACTGTGAATAAATTTTACAATTCCTTCAAGTTGCATGTTTGGAAAACTCTGCTTTTTCCACCCCACAGAATAAACATTTTCATCACTACCAGAAATGTTACCAATGATAAACTAAACTAAGCTGTTGATGAAGCAAGACAAAAGAATAACAGTAAAATCACAACTCTGAATTCTTGAATCCAAACTGACTTCGACCGGACATATTATCTGATTCAAAGAACCTTTTCACTATTTATTTATCAAGAAGTTATGAAGACTCAAGGTTAATATGAGTGGCAACAACTTACCTTAACTTCAGATCAGTATGCTTACTCAGTTCAACGCTCAGCTGCTGGATCAGAGCAAGAATGCAACTCTGTTGAAGTATACAGTCCTCTCCAAATAAGGTTTGAATATCAACCCTCTCGCACACATAAATAACAAAACCTAAATTTTCAGCGCTCAAAGCCATCTGGAATGCTTCGTCGAAATTGCCTCTAGAAAGGTTCTGCTGAATTTGGCTTAGAGTTACTGCCTAAAAAAAAATTATGTTCTGATTATTTCAACTGCTGTCAAAAATTTCATCCACTCAAATCTAATTCTAAGTAACACTCAAATATGATTCAATATTTCCAGAGTATCAAACGAATTATTATAGTCTGGTTAGTTTGCCCAAGATTATTTTTGTCGCAATACTCACAACTTATTTCATGAATACCAGAAGTTTCATTTTCCTTCATAGTGTATTTCTGGTTGCCCAACACTTATTGGGCTGAGGATTGCGACAAAAAGTATGTTGCTCAAATAAAGCGGTCTGTAATAACTTGTTACTAGGAACATGTTTCACAGACCAGAAAAGTCTAGTGTCACTCGACATGCAATGAATGAGTGAGAAATGCTTGAAATTTTTGAGACTGGTACACGGCAACATGGTTTCAGACGGCTTTGGAAGTTTAGAAATTGAAAAATTGTGAATGAGATCCATGAACCGCGAGAAAGGTACCATTTCAAACAGTTTTTTACTCTTTCACGTAAAGCTTACAAGTATAAAACCGGAAAATATTAAGTATCAGAACAAATAAATTAGGAATTAAAAAACAATAATAAACTGACTAAATACCTAATACTAGGGATTAATTCAATGACCCTCCTTATCAAAGGTAATGGTTAGACCAGACAACTCTCAACAGTAAATAAATATTTATTCCACCACCAAAAACCAAAAATTTCATTCCCAGTGTACATAAATAATATATCAATAATGAAAGCGTGATTGTGATAAATAACTTTTATAACGTACGTGTGAATCAACATGTGGAGACGGAGTTACGGCTCTGGAACGAACAGCGTTCATTACGCTATCTTCAATAACGGTAGCATGGCTCTTGAAGCCTTGCTTGACCTGTTCACTAACAACTTCTTTCATGTTGGATATCAGCTTATCTTGCATGCTGAAACAATATGGTGTTTGATAAGAGTTTTTTTTCAGTTGATTTTCCGACAACTCAGTTGTCAGAAGATTGTAGTAAAAGATAAATTTTCTGTGGCCGCTTTCAATTTATATAGCTAAACTATGACAGATTTTGAAATATCCTTCTTTAATGTAGGTTATGCCTCTAAAAATACCGAGAAACACAATATTTCAGTAATAATCTATTTTTTTGCGCACAAATAATTGCTTTTTTTTCTATCCACATTATATTGAGAGCGGAAATCATCGTGACAATGAAGAAAGTAAAACAAAACTGGACATATTTCGTGTGTTGAAAATGAATTCCAGCTCAGCTGGAAATATTTGAACATCATTGATGAAATAGCAGCACTTCATTCATTGATATTACCTTTTAAAAACAAGGCTGAACTGCTTCTGTATCTCAGAACTGACAGTGGTGGTCATCTTATCGCTGTTAATTTTCATGGTATCAGAAACAGCTTGCATCTGCACGATGAGGTCTTTGCCTTTATCTTGAACCCTCCTTTGCTTGTCCATGTAAGCTTCAACAGAGGCTGTGTCTAAAATTAAGAATTGCCCGAATAAGTTTGAAGGTTCGCTCGAAATTCGAAATTGACTTACATTCTTTGGTGCCGCGTGTGAAAGTTTCGTTAATTTGTTGGAACATTTGACCGCACACCCTCTCCCAGGACGGTATCAAAGTAGATGTTATAATGTCGCGGTAGCATTTTTCTAAACTAGGTGCCACGATGTTCACGACTGAAACACTGAGAGTATCTGCAAGGGCCTGAAAATATCGAATGAGGTTTATATACGGTTAGGTAAAATTGGAAACGAATTTCCAATTCTCCACTAAATATGTGGAGTCATGCCTGTGAATAAATCTATTTTCATTAGATTTATACACAGGCATATATCTATTTAATCTGAAATTATCAAGAATAATACCAGTTCCAAAATCAATGGTGACCAACACAACCATTCAACAACATATTCAGGTAATCTAAAATAATGAAAATGAAAACAAACATTGGTCAAAATTCGATGTTTGTTTTTGAATAATTTTACTAAAGGAAAATTCAGAATGAATTTGAGAAAATATTTATTGCTTAAAAACTGCATGTAACACATGGGCTGAAGAGTACCGGGACTAAGAAAGAAAATGCGTATTTTTTTTGTTCAAAATTTGTATCTTAACAAGGGATGCTCCAATGAAATTTTTTTATATGAAAAATCCAATCTTTTTTCGATGAGGAATCACCTCCTCAAATGTTTTACACTTATTTAGTTACACCCTGTATTATCTAACTATCTTTCAATCAGACACAACTCTCATCTGTAAACTTATGATTCAAGATGAAACCTATAATTACTAACCTTACTGTTGAAAGATTTCCAAACATTTTCCTTCAACATTTTATCGGTATTGGCCACTTTTTCCAAGTATGTAGAATCCACTTGAAGCCTGTACGATTCGATCATGTTGTGTATGGCTGGCAGAACAACATGATGCATCTCTTGCGACACAATCTGCTGCATTTTCTCCGACAAAGACTTAGTGAACAACTGACCAACAGCAGAGACGATATGTTCCTGCATTTCTCTGTCCCTAACCTTCTGCAAGTTGATGAGGTTCTCGAGCATCTTAGCAATTTGTAGCTGCTGCTTCGATCGGCCACAATCAAATTCTTTCAGCAATTCGTTTTTATCCAGCCTTTCTTCATGCAGTTTCTGAAGGAGAGTGTTTTGTTCTTGTATGATGTTTTCTAAAGCGGTTAATCGGAAGCTTAGAGCTTGCATTTGAGACTTGTCCTCTGCATTGATATCTTTTTCTTCTACAACCGGTATTTTTGGCCAAACCAGTTCGTTCACCAAATTTTCTTGGTATGTTGTAGTGCTGTTCTGATTCGAATAATCCTTCTGAGGCTCTTCTTGTTCCTCTTTCATGTTAGGTAAGCTATCGAAGAAGTCTTGGTTGCTGTATGACGAATTATTCAAAGAGAGAATTTCCTGCACCTCGCGGCTAGGGCTTGACCCTCCACTGGGGAAGTGGTCTTTCTGAGGTCTTTGGAAATCTATGAGGTTTTCAACAGGAGGCTCCTTTATTTCGTTGGCAGGTTTCTCCAAAGACACCGAGCTATCATTCCTCACGCTGCTTGGTCGTGTTCTATGTCCTGGAGGAGTGAAATCATCGGGAGTCATGAGTGTCACAGTTGAATTGCTTTGTTGCTGTATGAATAGATTCACCGATTCGTGTAGGTCACCGAGTTTGGGAACTTTTTCTTTCTCGTCAATTTTGTCGCTTGAAATACTTTTGGGAGAAGGAAGGTTCTTATACAGTAAGTTCTTTGGTTGGAAAATAATATTACAATGCTGGAGTTTTTTAGGTTGGATCACTACCATCTTCAAACATGCAGCAGTTCCTTCAGACTCTTCATCGTAGTCTTCACGGTCTTCTGACAGATCCTCATTGCTGTTACCGTAGGAGGAACATACTGTCCGTGTTTCGGCTTTAAGAATGTGACAACTGAGAAATGGATCTTTCAAGAGAAATTGGGAGAGCATAGTAACTTGTACCACTTGCTCCTTATCGTTCCTGTTCAGTTGCAAAACGTACAGTACTCTGTTGTTTATATCAGATATTGTCAAATACTGGCCAGTGTAGTCGATAGACATATTCAGATACAAGCTCATGATGAGGTTTGATGATTCAGGTTTGAAGTGGATGGTTTGAAGGCATGTCCAACTTTCGCATGACCATAACTTGATCTCGGAATTATTGTTAGCTCCTGTTATGGTAAACTTCCAACACCTTTAAGAAAACAATCGAATTTATGGAGAAACAGTGAAATTAATATCTCAAAGCATAGGCAGAAATAGGTTAGAGGGTAGCCATCAAGACATTATCACAATAAATACCGTCATTGAAAGAATGATTGACACAAATCAATAAAATTAAGAATAGATATCACTGTATATACTCATATCCAGATAGTAGAAAAAGTGCATAATAATAGAAATTTTTGAAAAACAATGAAAGATTTTTCCAGAAAAGTTATTCTCTTACATAAAATATGACTCTCAAAGAGACTGTAAAGTTTAGTACCTGTTCTAGAACTGAACCTCAGATTTTAAAACTGTATAAGCAAATGACACAAATTTATACTTCAGGGACCCGACAGCATGAAAGTGTTGTATTAAGAATATAAAAAAATAAATTCTTGACCATTTTCATCGCTTCTATTCCCTATCAAAAGATGAAATTAAAATTGAAAAAGCAAAGGCTTACTAATAGCTCAAAAAACTATTCTATAACTGTTCATATATTTTATGAAACCAATACATAAACTAGGAGATAAGAAAAATATTAGGAATTATAGAGCAGTTTGCAATCAGTCAGAGATTGCTAAGATGTTTGATTCTATGCTTACAAAGCAACTCTCCTGGGACTGTAAGTCTTTACTCAATTCCCAACAACACGGTTTCTCAAAAGGTAAATCCACTTGTACCAACCTTGCTCTCTACACACACTACTTAACTGAAAATCTTGAGAGGAGGTTACAAGTTGACTCAGTCTATACCGACTTTCTAAAGCCTTTGATAGAGTCAACCATGGCCTACTTATATCTAAAATTCAAGCGATCGGTATAAGCTGCAATGTTTTGCAGGAAATCAATAGCTTCTTAACTGGTAGAATTCTATCTGTAAAATACGGAGATACAACATCTACGCCCATTCAGGTTCCATCAGGGGTACCGCAGGGATCCCATATGGGCCCAGTGCTGTTCAACTTGTTTGTATCGGACATAAAGTTTGTTTTCGAATATATAGAATTTCTTATGTTTGCTGATGATCTCAAACTTTATCGAGCAATTACTTGCCGGGAAGATGCTGAATTCGTTCAAAAAGATCTCGAAGCCTTTTCCATGTGGTGAAGAAATAATTTGTTAGAGGTAAACATTGATAAGTGTCAAATCATTATGTTCGCTAAAGTTAGAAGTCCAATATTATTTGAAAATACATTGAATAATATAGCTCTTAAAAGAGGAACATTTATTCGCGATCTGGGAGTTAAATTTGATAGCGAAATTAATTTTAATCCTTGAGTATCAGTAATTGTGGCAAACCAAAAGGGTTTTCAAACACCAGAACTGTAACACTCTTCTCAAGGCGCGTTTCACCAAATTCGTGTCTTCAGGAGATGAATTGGGAACAGTGCTTGCTTTCAATCTTATTCAATATAATTTTGTATGTTATTTTTATTATTGATTTGCCTTTATCAACAAGTTAATCTAATGACAATAAAGCAATTTCATTATCATTGTTTTTGAAAACACCAGTTTTTGAAGAAAACATGAATATCTGATTCACTTACTCTGAACTGTATTCCAAAACATTATCGATGAAAATAATGGAGGAGAGTGGAGCGCCATCATGCGGTCTCCATTCATGCAGACACTTCTGCTTCTCATCATTGAACATGTAGAGCTGGAAATGATAAGAAATTTTATCTGAATTCAACAAACACTGGTCAGTGTTTTTCACAAATACCTGGAAGAATTTGACATAACCATCAGCACACGCAATAGCTATGGCAGTTCCATCTGCCGAGAAAGAAGCATCCACAACTTCAGATGTGTGGTTGATCTCAATGTAACCGTCATAAGTTTCATCAGGATCGATGGGACCGCCTTTTCCATACTTATCTGTCAGCATGGTAACGTTATAGACTTCAGCTAAAAAACAAATGAGATTAACTACAAATGCTACGACAAATAAACATGCTGTCTTGAATACCTCGAGTCCCATTTAGAACAACAAACATCTTTTCTGGGTCATCGCTTGTGTCTGTGTCATCATCAAAACTGGGTAAATACGGACACCAAATCAGTCTGAAGTTGTTGCTTATCCTATTATCATCCAGATGATGAACGTGTAACAACAGGGTGAATCTGAGATATTTTTAAGGAGAACTGCAATTGCAACATGACTTCATAATCTCTATTTCTATAGTCACTGATTGTTCTGCTTTCCCTCTATCCTTACACAAATCTGGTTTTCGAAAAAATCACAGTACAACTAATGCCCTGTTCAAAATGACCAACGATATTTTCTCAGCTACCGATAGAGAAAAAGTAACTCTTTTCTTGTCTCTCGATTATGGTAAGGCTTTTGACACCATGAATCACAGTCTGATGTGCGCTAAACTTCATTTTTTTAGATTCAATATGGAGGCATGTGCCTTTATTAGTTCTTTTTCAAATAATAGAAAACAATGTGTTTTGATAAAGGGTAATCAGTCTGATAGTATAAGTGTAGGTCATGGAGCCCCTCAAGGACAACTAAAACACTTCGACTATTGTCTCATCGCTTTTGATAATGTCTTCTGCAGTCATAGATAGATTGATATATACATTATTGTCCAAGAAAATACAATCTTATTGACAAAGCTTGTTAAAAAAAATCTGGTATGTATAGCACTTTAAGGAATAAAAGAAAAAATTTATAAATACAAATACCCAGAAACACAATTTGAGCAAAACTAAGTTCACACATCAAGTAGATAAAACATAACAATAAAAAAATAAAATTCAATCAAGTTTGTCGAAATAGTCCCTTTCTATTTCCTAATTTTGTAAGGTATGTGATTATACAGCTTTTTACTTTCATAAATTAAAGAATACTTTGACTTGATTTTGGAATAGGAAGATGTATTTTATTTTCTGTTTCTTGCTGGGTTATGTAGTTTATTTATGTTCCAACCATATGTTTTTTGTAAATCAGGCAAACAGTTTCCAGAATGAAAATACAAGTAACTAAGTAAGTAATTTTCCTCTCTCAAAAAAATGTTCTGAATAACTCACCCACTCCCACCTTGCATAAGTATCTAACCGCTTGCTTTTGCAAAACAAACAGTGAACAATATGGGATAGCATATTGGGGAGCCTGCTCACAAGCGTTGTTCTCAATGATCTTTAAGCTACAAAAGAGAGCACAGATACATATGCCATGTTAATCACCAAACTTCATGTAAACCCTTATTTATATCTCAGAGGATACTCACGTTAACATCAATCTTCGTGTTAGAATCAACTAGTTTAGTTCATAAGCATAAACTACATTTATTAAAATCCGACACTGTACATATTACTAGGGCAAATGGCCAATATATACCTTTATTAATCCCCAGAACCACCCATTGCCAAAATTCAATTGTATACAATGGTACGAAAATGTTCAACCATCTACCGAAGCAAATTAAAAATATTTATAGCACTCCAAAATTCAGAAGAGCTGTAAAAATTTTTTTAAAACGACACCATTTTATGATTTGAGGGAATTCTTTGAACAAAATTTTGAATAGCTGTGACAGCAATACAAAATATGTCGTATCCATGTCTACCACTAAATAGTGTTAAGGTTAGGTGTGTATGTATGAATATATATGTATGTACTTATTACCTGCCTGTATTAAGAAATCAAAACATTTCATAAAATTACTATGTGTGTACATGGGTCTATATGTGTGTATGTATGTATGTATGTGTATATGTATATATATTATTTTAATGTTTTTATCATCTGACAACTCTGTCCTGTTTTGTATTTATAACCATATAGAATAAATTGGGGAAAACTGTTTTTAATCTAGTTTACTGTATTGTTGTGAAAATATTTTATAGTAGCATGACTGTATATATACATTAAGTACATCCAATTTCAACATCCGATAATCCATATTGGTTTGCATAATTTTAATTTTGTTTAATTATCATGACCTCCTGCTCATTTTAAGCAGTTAGGATTTATGTACTAATATATTTAGAAGCTTTGTCAATAAGAATTCTATTCTTCAGATAATAAAGCATGCTTTGATTTGATATAAGGTACCGTAAACGAAAGTCATTTTGGATAAAAAATCATTAATGTATGAACATTTTTGAAATTTGAAACCCACACATGTGAAAAAGAGAAAATGATAAATTTGTTGGAATCTATGGAAGTAAACGAGTCCAAGAAATATCCCAATTCTAGTATCCTCAACAAACAACTTGATCTAAACAATGGTCCTCTCCTGAACCTATAACCCAGTTCCCAAAACCTACATTTTATCAAAATTTTTTGTTATGTTCATCGATATACTGCTATTGAGGTTATCCCAGGTATAGGTATCAAATTTTTTATGATAGGCATAGGCAATGTAGGTGTACATACTCAGATTTGAATGTATTCTAGTTAGTTTTGAAAATGGTGTAATGACTGAAATTAGTCAACAAATATAAAACTATTGTGAAAAATAGACAAAAGTGTTTTTATAGTGTATCCTCAGTCACAAAATTTGGACTACTCAAAGGAACATAACATGATTCTTATAAAGTTTAATAGGAAAAGGATACGACATGCTTTTTGGGGTGTCATCAATTTGATAAACCAATATATTCCCTTCACTATCGACACAACCTAATATGATGTCATCCCTAGAAAAAGCAAAAGATACATCTTTGATATCCTCCTTCATATTCTTAATCAGAACTTTCTGATTCGTTTCTTGATTCATAACCCTGACATTGCCGCCATCTTTGACTGAAAAGTATCACAAAAATGGTTACATGGACTGTTTTGATGATAGCAATTAAGATAAATATTAGTTTTACCGGCTCGTACAAGTTTTTGAAAAAATTTAATTGGACCTTCATATTTCTGTCCTGTGATCATGAATCTGAAGTGAAATATTGGTGCTCTGGTCTTCATTCAAAGATAAATCAAAGAATATACCATTTCAAGAATCAACTTTGGTAGAGAAAACTTGTTGAATGACACATATTTTTCAAATACCACTTCCACTTTTACATACAAAAGATTTATTTTGCTATAAAGTGTATATTTTCCTGAAAACTATATCATTATAGTTCATGAAACTTTTACAAGAAATTTTTTTGTTGGTTCTACTGATGAATAATAACGAAAAACTTTATTGAAATGACAATACCATATAGAACAAGTCATATGTCTAAAACTAAACCCAAGCATAAAGTTATGACTTCTGGTTGACGCTTTACATTATTTATCATGGCTGATTACAATGTGGAGCTGTTAATTAGTGCTGTCTGCAACAGACTCGCTCTTTAGGATGAAAGTCTTGACATTCATAAGGACCGAAATGAAGTTGTAAAAAGTTGGCAGAAAGTGCAAGGTGCTCAACGTAGATTTCGTACTTTTACCTATCCCATTCTTGATCGTTGAGGTTTTTGTTGACGGTAGAGAAGGTATATGGCAACAGCTTGCGTGCAATCCATTCTATGACTGACCTCAAGAAGCCAGGAACTAAAAAGGCTCCCGATGTAAATGGGCAATAGGTAGGAGCGATAAACGCTCCCGTATAGGAGCGAGAGACGTGAAGCTCCCTATGTGAAAGAGTCCTGATGAGTCAAATTGAAAATTGTTCAAAATCTAGCGTGAGCCGTTAAAACGAATATTTACCCAATCACGAAGTTCTGGTTACCTTTCATTCCATAAGCGACAACCTTTCCACCTATGTGGGCTGCAATAAGATGACCATGGTAGTATCGAAATTCCCAGTTGTAGTCGATCCAATCAGTCAATTTTACTTTAGAACTGCCATGACTATGAGTACCCTCTTTGCAATGGATTATAACCGTCTGGCCTGTGATATCAACAGAAAACTCGAAATTTTCTCCCTTATCCTTACTGAAAAACTTTGTTAAAAAAACGCCTACATGAAAAAATACATTTTATTTACATATCCTGAACCGAATTAGGCTTGGGTCCTTTATGAGGTGAGGTCATTTTGCCGGTTAGTCTTAGGAGCAAAGCATCGAATTATTCAAACTGATAATAGTGATATTTATTAAAAAACCGTTTGAGCCTACACTCCAACTAACCAAAAAAATTTACAAACGATAACATTACGACAATTGACATTTGTCAGACGTCGTGAACTGAGCCATTGTAGACGAGGTCACAGTAATCCGTGGTTCCGTGGAATACTGTGTCCCAGTATACTTCCTACTGTGACTGTGTCGAGGTCTTATAGCTTTTGTATACAAAATATAGTAAATGTCAAGTTTTAAATATTGCCCATAAAACTCATTATCATATCATCGTAAGATATAATTATGAGTTTTGTGTAGATGCCCATGTCATTCGTTTTGAAGAGTGTTTCTCGGTACCATTTATGACGTCAGAATCCCTGTCACTGCTCTGCACGGCAGGGGCCTTATTTTCAAATCAGGTGAACTCTCACATCTAGAGAAATGTTGGATGTCTGACTATCTCTGTTCAACTGTCATCCCATTCGAGTCGACTCGAATACAGCTCTCGTTAATTGTATTTTGTTGCCACTCGGATCACAATATTCCATAAATGCGTGTTTAGAGTCATTGGTTGCGTCTGGGACGAAAAAGCGAAAAGTGCTGCGCTGAATAAAGTATTGAAAAGCTTGAATTTTATTCGGCGGCTAATTCTGTAATCATCATCTTCCATATAAAAAATAAAACGTTGAATTTTGATCGAACAGAAAGAGCAAATAACTCCTGGCGGAAATTACCTAATCTGAAATAAGATCAGGGAAAACAAAACACATCTATTTTCTCTTCAGGATTGTTTTGAAATTATCCTTTCGTCATGAACTAAAGGCAAACTATCGAATTTCATTAGGTAGAAAGAGCAAAAAATTTAATCTTATCAATCTGGAATAAGATCAGTGACAGCAAAACACACCTAAAGATAACTATTTTGACAACGTCATGTGTCAATCTGTCAAATATTGGCTGTCAAGTATATTTATGGAATTTTTAGAGAATTAAAATAATCGTGTTGTGTTGATATTTGTATGTAACAAGTTCACCTTTTTATCAGTCCTTGATCTTTCACTGGCAGTGATAACAGCATCAAATGTTGGGCATATACGGAGCTCGTAGCTTCGTCTGAAAATTTATAATAAGTATTTTTATAGAAAAATGTTTACAATTCAGCATGTCACTCGACCAGAAAGACAAGAGAAAGAATGCATTCATTCTGGACACTTCATGGTTTCTCATTTCGAAGCTGAAGAACAAGACGACGAAGATAATGTAGCAGTTCCCATTCCAGAGAGCACGGACCCCAAGACCATTGTTCCACTGGTGACTGCAAGGCCTAGAAGCATCCAGAACTGCACAGAGAACCAGAAAAATCAACTGCAGCTAGCCATTGATACAAGTTTAGCAAAACTTTTCCAATGTATGTCTTTGGCTTACAGGTAAGTGCTTTAACTGGCTTGGTATTAGGAGGTATTTTTGGAACAGTGATAGATTTGCTTGTTTACAACTTTGAATCAAAGGTTATTTGCATAATGGTCTTTATTTATTCACTTTAGTAATTCAGTATGAATTTCAAGATTTGTTTATATCCACTATTTCCATTTTAATGTTTGAATCATAGTTATTTTGTGAACAAAGGTTATAGAGTGGATTATAGTGTGGACATAGAAATTATTATTCAATTCTTGAACATTCAATAAATTGGATACTAAATATTTATGCTCACGAAATTGCGTATTAGAGGTCTATATGTAAATTTTTCCCATTTCAAATAATATCGTCTGAAATGTTTACACATCAAATTTGAGATAAGGATAAGCAGTATTTATATAGTAAGTTACTATGTATGATGGAAACTACAAGAATATAACTATGTCAATTCATTATTTCTATAATTTTTACATATTTGTTTAAATACAAGTAAGTAACCTCTGCTATCAGTTTAACATTTATTCATTGAGAGACAAATTTATCAGTTTAAAGATAAAATCAAATGATAAACTGGTTCAGTCATTTCGTGACAATTCAAGTGATGTTTGTTTTGTTTGTCTACTACATCAAAATTCATGCTGATTTATTTAGTTGGATGTTTTTACAAAACAATGAGTACACAAAATGAGACCATTATCTGTTATCTATGTGCTGATATTTGATTTTAAAAATACTGTTGTTTGTGAAATGGCAATTAGAGAGGCAATTAGTAAGGTCACTATAAAATGTCAGAAAATGTTGCAAGGCATTGCTATGCCCTAAGAGTCATCACTAAAACAATAAATGTTCAAGCGTCAATGTCTGTCTATTATGCACAAGTCCACTCAAGACTTAAATACGGCTTAATTTTTTGGGGTGCATCTGTGAACGTTAAAAAAATTTTTTCACTTCAAAAACGTTGCCTAAGCATTTTACTTTATTGTAATTGAACAAATAATAAATAATAAATAAATAAATATTTCAGCACTTATGGTGGATTCATGCACCAGTTTTGAGTCATTTGTTGCAAGTCATAAGAATTCATGCTTTTCATTTGTTACTACTAAAAACTTACAACTCATGCATGAGCAATTGAAATTATTCTGAAAAATGATAAAATAGGAGAGATTCGTTTTTGGAGAAAAAGATTCTTGGTTTCCACTTCACCGTTTCCATACAAAAAATTGTGGGAAACTTCCAAAGGGAGGAAGAAAGCAGTTACATCAAAAATGAACTATTTACAAAGGTTTTAATATAGATAGAATGTTCATATGAGGGTAGATATTTGGAGAGGGCTTTTTCTTTCAATTTGTATCTAAAAGTAACTTCCATGTGTGATCTGAACATCGTTGTAAAGAGTTTATTTTGAATTTAGTTGCTTTATTTTTCCTTATTTTGAAAGTTTCCCACAATTTTTGGTAGTAAAACGTTGTTTCCTCAAGAAATATCCTCTATGGTGCAGGCAAGAAATAATTTCTGAAATCATCACAAGAACTTTGAAGATGTTAAAACTTTGACATACTAAACAGAATACAAAACCTAAAGTAGTCAAATGACACGTCAAATTAGTCATTTGTCAACCTTAAGGAAAATAAATGTAGTCTTTCCTCAGGTGCATTATTGCAATGCAAAAGCTTTGAATTGTTTTTCCACAATACCCGACGTTTTATTTGTATTGCTTCTCGCAAGCGACGCATAACTTCAAGATTATACTCCTTATTAGCCGTGCGACCAAGAAAACAGTGAGCAAAACCTTGGCATTTGATCGAACTTGGCATACTTTTTATTATTATTATCATTATGCCCAAAATTTCCAAAAAATTGTGTGGCATGAGCCAACCAATATGCCCACATCCTCAGCAACGTCTCTCATAGTGATTTGACGATTCTCCTTAACAATTTTCTTTACTTTCTCATTTTCATCGGTTGATGACGTGATAGGTCCGTCCAGGGCAAGCTTCATCATTCATATCTTCTTGACCTTCTGTGAAAAGCTTGTACCATTTTGTAAAAAAAATTCCGACTCAGAGTACAATTGTCGTATGCCACTGTCAACATTTCAAGTGTTTTTGAGCACTTAATTCCTTTTTTTACTTTGAATTAGATGCAAATTCTTTGACCCATTTTTTTGATAGCAGAAAATGGCCGAACACACAAAACACTTCTTACTTTTATGCCTCTCACCAAAAAACTAAACACGCTAAACAGCTGAAACTGTGAACACATGTTCAAGACTAGTGTACCAATATAAATAAATAAAAATCGCTTTTTGAATGTCGTAGCTCGCGAAATTTGAACACTCACCTTATTTTTTTAACAGACCCCGTATATTCCTTTCTCCGCCACTTCATGTATATTAACTCATATATCCTTTTTTGTAATTTTTAAATTTTCATCCAGGGTCCCATCTGACAGTGTGACATTTTTTGTCAAGTTCAAGATTCACTTTCATATTTTTTTTTACCATAAAAGATAACATTTTAGGGACGATGTTTCATATTAGAGACATGCAAAATAAAAAAGTAGTGTTGAATGGAAGTCACTATTTGTGGAGGAATCTGAGCTTTTATTTGCCTTTTCTTAATAGGGGAGCCCAAGCGGGGATTTCGGGATTCACTAAAGCGCGGCAGATTAATATACAGGGGGATACCTTGTACCCGGTTAAGTACCTTCACCAAATGTGAGCCCCATTTATAAGCCGCCTGTGAGGGATAAAGGCGGCTTATAATTTCTGATGATTATCAGAAATTCTCGAGCGCGTCAGATTAAGGTAGGGTAAGTTAATTACCTGCTAAAAAGTGTATATTTCAGTAATCTGACAATTTGAGAGTGACGTAAAGAAAGGGGAGGGCAGCAAAGTTGTAAAAAAATAACGTCATTTCGACATTCTCGAGCGTAGCTATTTTTTTTTATTTTGATGGAAATAATTCAAGGATAACGAAAAATATATAATCTGACAAGTTCAATGAATTAAGAAAAAAAATGTTTCTGTCAGATTAAGCGAATCCCTCTAGATAATCGTCAGATTATGAGACAGCACGTCTTTGTGTTGCTTCTTGGCTAACTGCAACTACTTGTAAACTGAGCCTAGTATTGTATACACTTTTCAAACTTTTCAAAATTGAAGACCAACGAGTTTTTACGGGCAATTGTATGGCACCTGCATTTGGCTCTACATTTTTATTTTCTGTTTGTTTTATCCGCAAAAGTTCATACAAAACTTTTTTATTCTTAATCTCTTTTGCAATATCTGTAACTTTATCAAAAATATTTCCGTTGGAAATATTTCCATTTACAACACTATACATATTACTACACTGTAATTTCCACTACAGTCATATAGAAAGTCATCAGTAGATTAAAACTCTCAAACAGTAGCAGTATCTCGAAAACAAAATCAGGGGTCTACTGCGAAAACAGTAGACCTGGCAACACTGAACGTGGCGCTCCTCTCGTGCAATTTCTTCCCCATCTTCAGTGGATTGATTCGTAATATTCTGCAGTCCAATTGCATCGGGTAAATTGGACAAAAGTGTCCTATTTTGGGGAACTAGAATTATCTCTTTTTCAGATCGAGAATATCAATGGTTGTTTTTGAAATATTCGCCAAAAACTAGGATTGCTGAATTTCGTTTTTTGGCTTTACCGCGACGCAACAGTGGAATCAGCTAAAAAAAACGGTCTGCATTGCATATTAGATGTTTTTCATGATTGCCCAGATATCAGGTTCGTCATTTAAAATTCGCGATTGAATGATTAATTACGTCAATTTGTATTTCTCGGAATATCTCTTCGGGTTTTTACATGGTAATATTGCACATTCACTGGTTCTTTGAATAAGCCTCTAGCTATACAGGATGCCTTTATTAGCGTCTAAACTTTTGTATATTCTCATGGAAGTATTGAATGCCGATGTATTATTTGAGACTAGAGAGAGAGAGAGAGAGATAGTAGTTATCGATTTATGAAAGTAATTATAAGAACCAAAAAGGGGGGAAAATTAAAATTTCATACATATTTGGATGTGATTTGGATGGATGTCAAATTCCTCGTTTCAATTGATACACTGTTTCCGCCACGTTTTCAAACCATCAAATTTTAGGTCTGTATAAAAAAAGAAAAAATATAGAGAATATTTTTTTATTTCTAATAAAATAGTTAATAATAGAGATTTGGAACAATTTCATTGTTTATACCTGTTTTTTAATTGTTTATTACGCGCGCTCACCATTACGCTTCCCTTACCTTACATCGACCTCTCTGTGTCCTGAATCATGATTTATAATTACGCCGATGATACCCAACTATACCTCTTTCAGTTTCCATGAAACTAAAGAGGTCGAAAAACTCATTGATAGAAATCTTAAATCGCTATTTGATATATCCTGTGCACACAATTTAAAACTCAATCCAAATAAATCGCAAGTTATGCTTTTCGGACCAAAAAATAGAAGAAGTGCGTTGCGTGAATCTCTATCTATTCACATCGATAATCACGCTATCCCCTTTGTAAAGGCAAGTAAAAATTTAGGTTTGTGGCTTAACACCGAATTTAGATTCACAAAACATGTCAGTTACGTATGTAAGACTTCTTTCAATATTTTGAGGCAGTTATATCCCAACAGACTTGTAATGTCTAAAAACTTGAAACTCAGCCTCTGTGAGTCTCTGATACTCCCAAGACCGGCCTACTGTGATAGCATTTACGGACCAGCTTTACTACAAACTGATGCTCGGCGTCTTCAGAAAATACAAAATAGTTGTATTCGATTTTCGTATGGAATCCGTAAATACGATCACATAAGCTCATCCTTTGAGAATTCAGGTTGGCTGAAACTTAATGCCCTAAGAGAACTGCACCTTCTTACTTTCACTCATAAAATATTGCAAACCGGAACTCCACCCTATCTATGTGATAAACTCATTTCACTATCTTTCAATAATAACAGTCGCAATCGACACCTCTTGTTTATATCCAATCATAATTCGGCTATTTATACACGTAGTTTCTCATACATGGCAGCTAAATTGTATAACACCATATCTGTAGATTTCAAACAGTTACCTCAAAGCTCTGTCAACGAGTCAATAATTTAGCATTATAACACTTTCCTCAGGCTATCAAATAGGTTTCGATTTCCCAGATTTTGTTTTACCACATCGCGACTGTATCATTTTGTGTTATTTTATAGTTATTTTATAATAATTTATTATTTACGATACCTTGCACTTTTTTATAGTTTGAAAGGTTAGGTTTAAAAGCAGCTATGATAGCTGCACCTCGCCCATTCATCATACTATGTTTCATCATATCTTTCTATTGTTTATTTTTTTATTATAATGAATAAAGACCTGTTATTATTATTATTATTATTTTTTCACCGTAGTGTGCGCTGGTCAGGCCCTATCCCTCGAAGCCCCGATACATTCGGGAGGGCGCGCCAGCATTATCAACCAATGACCACTCCCCACACCGTGGGGCAAGTGATCATTGGGTCCGAAAATCATGTGCCCTGAGCAAGCGCAGTGAGCCAAGAATGACAGCCTTCTGCATCTGTGCGGCTAAGATTTCTGCCTTAGTGCGGCAAGCCGGTATGCTTTTAAGATTCGAGAGTAGAGAGGACATCATTCCACCAAGGACTTCAATAATCAGAACAACCATCTTGACAGAGTGATCTGGATAGAGTCTGTGGAGTTCGAAGATAAAATCCCGATATTTTATCCGTTTTTCCTCCTCTTTTCCGACGATATTCGTCTCGCCAGGAGCTGAAAACTCCACGACAACTATCGTTTTGCTCTGGTGGTCGAGTAGGACCACAACAGGCTTATTAGCTTGTATGAGCCTGAGGGTAGGGAACGAGAAGTGCCGAATTTATTGAAACTATTCAATTCACAATTGACAACGGATTCAATATCCACCAGAGCGTAGGGCAACACCGGTGTCTCGTCAATACCGTAAGAGTGTCGTAGATGTTAATATAGCACTCTTAGGACTGCGTTATGTCGATGAATATAGGCCGAGACCGCATATGCTGGACATGCTGATAGCAAGTGCATTAGGCTCTCGAGCGCCTCGCGGCAGGCCCTGCACCTTGTGTCAGGAACCTCTATACCCATAACGCGACTGCGGTAGACTAAGGTGTTGAAGACACCATCCTGGCAAGCCATGATGAACCCCTCAGTTTCCGACATCAGCCCACTCGAAGGTCAGGCGCTTTGATAAGCCAAGGTCTCCAATGTTATTGAAGAAGACCCTATTCATTGGCTTATCCTTGTATTTCCGCAGAAGTAAGGTGATCTCTGCGGATTTTATCTGAGCTTTTTGCTGAACAGGTTCCAACTCGGTGACAGAGTTGTGGTCACCTCGTTCAGTGTCGGAAACTATACAGAGTTCATCAGCTGCTCGGGCAGTTGCCCTAAAGAGAAATTATTATTATCATTATTATTATTATTATAATTTATTTCACAAACTTATAACTTCATCAACATTTTTTGCACTTTTGCCAACGTAACACAAGCCGATTAATTCCGTCAGCATAAAAATTATGTGCTGGGAATTCGACGAAGTCGACGAAGGCCGTTTTTGCCTGATCCTGATTGGCGAGGGTTCTACCGGTGAGAAAGTTATCGAAGCAGTTGAAAAGATGGTAGTCGGTGGCGAAAGGTCTGGGGAGTTTGGTGGGCTAGTCAGAATCAAATTTGGAAAAAAAATTAACAGCATCAATGTATAGAGTAGGTATAGTTCAAGTAAACGTTATAGTGCAACCTACCTTCCAACAGCTCCCCTTCAACAATATAGTTAGGGAGCTAACTAATTTCGGTAATATCAAATACTTCTTCTTCAATTAGCTCTAATACCTTCTTATCAAATTTTGGAAAATTATTTTTTATTATTTTTAAGCCTGATGATTTTTCCAAATCAACTCGATGGGATTGAAAACACAAAAATAGGGGGGAAGTCTCAGTATGGTGTGTCCATATACTTTCCAGCAATACTCTTAAGGACAAACACTTTTTCTAATGTTTTTGTCTGTAAAACTTCAAGTAGTTGGTTTTTGGTATAGTAATCTTCAAAATACAAATTGATATCCATTAAAAAACCTTTGTATTCCATCTTTCCTCGAATTTTCATTCGATACTTTGATGAGCTGTCGCGAATGAGGAAGCCTTGTCAAGAAGTATTACACTATTCGCATCCAAATTTGGGATCAATGTGTTTTCGAACCATTCCTCGAAAATATTAGCTTTCATGTTCTTATGATAGTCAACATTGCAGTCCTCAAGTTTTTTTCTACATATCAAAGAATTCCGGAACCCATCTTTCACTTCCTCCGCAATGCATAATGATTAGTCGCGATCCTTTGTTTGCAGGCATGTTAGGCGTACACATTCTCGAACGATCAGTCCATCCTTTCGTAACTATGTCGTGACTGTCATAGCAAGTTTCGTCCAAATAGCAAATTTGCCGTTGTTCTTGTCTATATTTAGTTATTTGTTCTAAGTATTTGTTACGCAATTCCACTATTCTTCTGCTTTCCATAACTGCTTAACGTCTGTTCATTATTTCAAATCTAAATCGTAGTTTCTTTATCCAATTCTGAAGAGTTTTGTCACAGCAGCCGGAAGTATTCAATTTATTCCTTATGATTTGAGTTGTAGGAATCTCATTGCTTTTGTAACAGTCGTATATTGTTTTTTTTTTCAATAATTTTATCAGATGAACATCTAAAGGTTGTGGCAATCCTGTATCACATCGCGTCTTGCGTTCATAAGGATTGTTTTTGACTATTTTAAATACAGTTGAGAAAGGAATTTCGGTCAAATCTGATGTTGCTTGAAATAGTTCGTTTTCCTCGAAACCAAACTTGAAATGTAGATTCTTATATACATTGAAACATACTCTGTGTTTCAATATTCAAATGCATCCGAATCTTATTCACTGGTATCTCTTTCTCGCATTGTTTACCATCGCTATTGGAATCACTACACAGGAAAAAGTCTGCGCTGTTATCACACTCGTTATTACTATTAGTACTTGTCCAAGGATGCCACATTTCAAACAGATAACAAGAATTTTAAGTAATTATAACTGCACCAATATCGAATTTCAACACTCAAATCGCGATCAGTTCCTGAACTCAAATTAACAACACGACGGCTCGCATTCTATTCGTCACCGTAACACCGTCACAAATTTAATTTTATGACTTTTCAGCCAATCATAAAACTCCGTTAGTAAAATTCATCCAATACGGACCGCCAATTCTTCAGTCCACGTGGACTAGTTGGCAGCGGATTCATTTCTCTGTATTGTTTTTTTTGGCCTTTGAGAGCGCCGACAATTTAAGCTAATTCGACTATACAAAATTCTTTATCGATCAGTATATACTACTATACAGTAGAATAAATATTTATTGAGATATGAAGCTACAAAAACACATGACATTAAAATTGATATTGAAACAACCTATTAATTGCTATATTTTTGTTAAGTAAATATTATGCATGATGCCAACATAATTAACTTTGGGTTTTCAGTTAACTTTACCTTAAAAAATTTTCGAATTAAATAGACGTTTGTAAACTCCTACAATGGCAAGTGATATATTGAAGTTATCACACTTTTATGTGATATTGAGACAATAACAATTTTGTTTAGGCTTATCAGATTAAAAAAAAAGAAGTGTATGTGAGTGAGTTTAAGTCGTGCTGATTTTTTTTTGTATAACTCAATTTTCAAAGTATGATGTTTTATCAGTGTAACTTATCAGGTTTTTTTATTCAAAAATGATGTTTTGTTTCAGACAAAAATTGACGTCGCCGAAATGGAACAGATTTCGTGGAATCAGACTACGGTGGAAGGACAAAATCCGCTTGAACAATGTCATATGGAGATGCTGGCATCTTCAATGTGAGTACCATTTATTTTCCTGAAATCATTTCCAATTGTCTACCCGACTTTAATTTTCAACATTTTGATTGGCACCTGTTAGATGTTGTCTTATAAGGGAATAGCTACTCTACGGAAAATGCTTCATTTCCTTGTGGAAAGGAATGTATAAAAAAATGTTGAGATTTGCAATTTTTGGTGTCACTATTTTTCGAGTTTGAAAGCCGTTGATTTTTGGAATTTCTTCCTGACATTTCACTGACGCGAGTGGCTAGCTTCTTCAGAAGTTTATACAACCCGAGTAATCTCCGATGACTGAGCCAGAAAAAAATTCGAAAAAAATCGAGGGTCTTGAAACCCGAATAAACGCCGTTATTGTAACGTAAAAGGAAGGTTAGGTTAGGTTAGATCCAAAGTGAGTGCGTCTATTCGACCTCCACCGCAATCCGCAAGGGTATATTGTGGCTCATACTTATTCACACTCGAAGAAATAAACCCAGCTTCTTAACGAAGCCGATTTGTTTGTATGATGAGTGGTCTTTCAGGTCAGATGGTAAAAGTACGGCTCTACCGAACTCTAAAAACCTGATTCGGTCCCCAGCGGGGCAGGCACAAAGTATATGCTCTGCTGTTTCATCGTTAATGAGGTAGTCGGATAGTCAATGTGCAAGATTCCCACCTTGATACCCACGACCACCTTCCCATATGAGGATTTTTGCACGTCAGCCACACCTGACGATGCCTTAGATTCAACCGTACAGGGCTTTTTCGCCTCTGGTTTCTGTGAATTAACACTTGAGCGCAAAGGTTTGCTAACCTGCTCATGGGGGGTTTCTTCCTCCATCTGAGACAGATTATGCGTACGCCGCTCAAGAATTTGATGCAAGGTGGTTTCATAAGGTATCCCGCTCTTGAGGAGACGACTCAGTCGTTTCCTAGCTGCACCATCAAACTTTTTTTTTTTTTAGGTTCAGTTATTGGATCAGGAGTTGGAGAGTTGAGAAGCTCTCGCTCCTGATTTAAATTTACAGGAAGGTCAGTTGGAATCGTAAGCTCGACATCCATCTCCTCTGTAGACTCGCTCCTGATCTAAGTTCACAGGGAGGTCATAGTCTAATCAACAAGTTCAGAAACATGAAAAATAGAGATAAAGGTCCTAAAAATATGAGCGGTAGCTCATTCGATTCGGAATCACCTCTAGAAAAATGTTTATGAAGGATTTTGGTGCAGGTAAAAAATTGCAATTGTTATTAACAAAATAAGATTTTAAAAGATGGTATTTAGTTTTTCATTAACGCAATAACGCAATAAACGCGCCCAAGCTTATTTAAAAAAAATATTTTTAAATTTTTCGTTTGATGTTCTTGGAAAGCGTGTTTTATAGTTTTTTAAACTATATTTATTTTAAAGAGCTATTCACATCAAGGTAAACAATGAGCTGTTCGAAATGGTATTTCATCACCGTTCATAGTTCTACTGCCGTATTTTGCACTTTCTATACTTTCGAAAGTATCACACATGACACAAGTCTAGTGTGAATTACTGAACTCAACAATTTTAGAAAGTGTTCATTTAGTTTATGGCCGTTCTCCAAGGCAATTTGGGCGACACTTGTCTTCGAAATCAGATATGTGATTCGTGTTTTTTGAAGCGAGTTTCAATAGCCTGTTGCGTCTGACCGATATACTCTCATGTTCCACTTTATTGAAAATGCAATTTAATCCATTGGTGTGTCTTGGGTCTATACAGAAGAAAAATGAACTTGGAATCAGTGTATTTTCGAAATGTCGAAGATTTACGAAGTTTCTTCTTAAATTTACGTTTCCAGGGACTCAGTTGAAAGTTAATGGGTATCTTTCAGATGTATAGTACGTAAGTGAATTAGGAAACGTAATTTATTGACTGTTTTACAGTCAGCACGAGGGTACCACAATAAGCAATAGAGAAGCTAGACCACTTTCCACGGACTTGTATCCGATGTGGACTCTTGAAAAAATAAGGTGAATGCTCAAATTTAAAATTTGACATCCTTCAACGTAAAAATGTCACCCCTACCTTCAACCCCCTCGAGTGACAGGTACAACCCCCAATTTTTTAAATAGGAAGTATAGGTTTGTGATATATCGTTTGAAAGGTATCTTCATTCTCTATTCAAAAATGTTATGGCTTTCAAGTTTATTCAACAATTATGATAAAATAAATTAAAATCATGTGGTCACCGAAATTCGATAAAATAACTAAACTGTAATGCAAAACGTAATGAAATGTAGAATACAAAAAAAACATGGATGTTAACGAAGTAGATGTTCAAAATGTTCAACGCGAACGTCTTGGCAACATCCTAATCCGTATCCCCATAAAAAGAAATCTAATGATGAAAGATCAGGTGATCGCGCTGGCCATTTAATCGATCCTCGTCTCGACATAAAAACAATGTGTTTCACACAAGTTTTTTAAGTCTTATTATTAAGTAGTATTTTATTGCCTATGTTTAATTCAGCACTAATTCTTTATTTCAGTTATCAAGAAAGAAAATACCCTGGTGTGCCAATTTGCTTCACCCCTAGATGTAGACATCCATAACAAACCAGAGGTGAGTACAATTCATATGTAAGATAGATTATTTCTTCAAATTACATAATTTCTTTTCATTTTAATTTTTGGAATTAGCTGAAGTTTATATTTCAATAAAATACTTTAAATCCAATGAAAACACCAAAACAAAAATACTGTTAATAACATCAAAACTATAAATATTTGAGGAATGAAACAAACATATTTTTAAAGAGGAGGAAATTTTCCATAAAAAGTATGGACTCCCGGAAATGTATCTCCATTATTCATAATTTTAATTTAACGCTTTTTTACCAGACGCCAAGCCGCTGAAAATAGCGTTTCACCAAAAATAATTTTTTTACAACATTAAATACCTACTTATTTGTAAATTTGTGAAAATTATG